GATAAGGTTTTTGAACCAAAGGTTTTGGTTGAGAAACCTAATCGTTCTCCTGTCTTGGTCTGGGCAACCTGACAGTATTCGGCCCATGCAATACAATAAACCTTTCCTACAACAATTGCTTGATGCTCTGGCCACCGCAGAGGATAATAAACGGCGCCCTATCTGCTGCGTCGAGCAGGGTGGTTAAGGGTTTGGATGCTACTGCTCAGGCCCTCCCGCCTGCTTATACCCCTTCTTGCGCTTCTGCATCCTTATTGTCCCGCTCCAAATTTAGTTATATCCCCCCATTTTCCATCCCCCGGCTTACTTCAATAGTCGCTTGTCTTCTAATTTCAAATCACACACAATCGCAAGGCCACGCTCCAATTCAGTCGACAAGTCCATGTTCAACCAAGTGGACAACGTCAGTTCATCCGTTTCCCTTTGGAGTCCTCGTGTCTCTCTAAGACTGGCATGCCTCAACGTGCGCATTTTGCTGCAAATTGGCCAACAAGCAGTAATTGCCCGCACACTAGAGAACCTATCGATCGATATTTGCTGTTTACCAGAAACCCGCCTGCAAGGTTCGAGCTCCGTGCTTACCCTGAGACCCCCCACATGCGACACGGGCGGCACATTCTCCTTGCGCCTATCTGGCGATGATGCAGCTTGAAATGCCGGTCAAGCTGGCGTCGGCATTGTTTTGAGTCCCCAGGCTGAAGCTGCCCTGCTTGATTGGATCCCAGTAAACAGTGGGATGTGTGCCGTTAGATTAGCTGTTTCGTTCCATGCCAAGAAGTCGAGCGGGGACAAACGGGGCCTGTTTGTCATTGCGGCCTACGCCCCTACAAACTGTAGCACTGATCCGGTAAAAGATGATTTCTATCAGCAACTTCACGAGCTCCTTGGTTGCAGAAGAAACACGGATCCTGTGGTGCTGGCTGGCGATCTAAACGCCTAAGTCGGAAAATTGTCCTCTGATGAGCTTCATCTGGGCGGCCAACATGGCGTAAGCTCCCATAATGATAATGGTGCGCGGGTGCTACAGCTGTGTGAAGATGCTCGCCTCCTTCTCGCGAGCACTAACTTCCGACACAGCACCCGCAGAAGTGCGACTCGGCGGCTAGCAGCATCGGGCCAGCCATGGACGCAAATTGATCACATTGCGATTAGTTACCGCTGGAGAGGCTGTGTACAAAACCGTGGCTCGAGTTGGAGCATGAGCGTAGACGGTGATAACACACTTATCTGTACCGACATTCTGGTGCGTTTCAGTGGACGTGCGCAACGTCGATGTGAACGGATTGACACCAGCCAGCTGGCGAAGCCAGATGTTCTGAATGTGTACCAAGATTCTCTAACATCTGGGCTGAGTAAGCGCCCACTAAACACCGTTGAAGATCACTGGTCGCATACTCGTCAAACGTTGCTATTAGCAGGCATGTCTTCACGTGGCAAAACAAATTGCGACCCCGGACATTGGGTCTCTACACAGTCTCTGTAATTGTGGATGCTCGCCGACCTATTCCGGCTGGAAGCGAATACAAGGAAGCTCGCAAAAATCTCAGGGCAAAACTACGTGCTAGCCTAAAGAAGGACCGCGAAACCTGGTGGTCTCATCTAGCCTCTGAGATGGAAACCGCCGCTGTCATTGGTAATCATCGTAAGTTATACCGTCTGATACGGGAAACTGGCAGCAGGAGACCTGGTGTTAGCGAGACCACGCGCGAGGAGTGTGGGCAGCTGATCCACAGCCTGTCAAAACGCTTGGAGCTTTGGGCTGAACACTTTGATATGCAAGTTAACCAACTTGAGCTATCGCTTTCTTCGGGCATTTAGCGCCCTTCTCCTTGGGCCGTCCCCTTGGATCGGCCCTCACGCGCAGAAGTCGAACGTAAGATCAGGCTGTTGAAATTGCATAAGGCCGCAGGAGCAGATAGAATTTCTCCAGTCCTCTTCAAATTCGGTGGACCTGCGCTAGTAGATGAATTACATGAGTTGCTAGTAAAACGTTGCGAGCAGGAGACAGTCCCGACAGACTGGAACCACTCCGTCATTGTCCAAAGTTTCAAGGGAGGCTCCCGTTTAAAATGTGGCAATCATAGAGGGATCAGTCTGATTTCGATTGCCTCTAAATTGCTTGCCTCTCTCCTTCTCCACAGAATGACTGGCACTCGTGAAAACCAGATTCGTGAAGAGCAAGCCGGATTTCGTCGTAGTCGCAGCTGCATCGACCACATCTTCACATTGCGTCAAGTGTTGGAGCACCGCGAGGTTTATTGGCTACCCACCGTTGTCGGGTTTCTTGACATAAAAGGTGCCTTCGACTCAGTCGATCGATGTGCCCTTTGGGACTGCCTGCTGAGGAAAGGTGTGCCTGATAAATATGTAAACATTATCAAAGCGCTGTACGCGCATAGTTCGGGCAGGGTGAGGGTTTATGGCAAACTCTCGCCACCCTTCAGTATCACCAGCGGTGTGAGACAAGGATGCCCGCTGTCACTTTTCCTCTTCAACTTCGCTATTGTTGAAATCATAGAAACAGCGTCCGCTGGACACGACATAGAAGGTGTGGAGCTACTCCCTGGTGAGCGACTTCTTGACTTGTAGTATGCGGACGATATTGCCCTAATCTGTGACAGCTCCCAAACATGCCAAACAGCACTGAGCCGATTGGCACTGGCTGTCAATCGTTTTGGGCTATGCTTTGCTCCATCAAAATGCAAAGTACTTCTCCAAGATTGTCAGGGACCCAACCCTGCGCTAACGCTTGGTGGTGATCTGTTAGCAGTCGTACAGGAATTTAAGTACCTGGGCAGCTATATTAGCACCCGTGGGATTGAAGATGAGGTTACGAACCGTATAGCAAAAGCTCGAGGTGCTTTGCCAATCTCCGCCACCTGTGGCACAGACGCGACATTACTCTCGTCCTGAAGGGCAGAGTTTACAACGCAGCCGTCCGTTCAACTCTCCTCTATGGCTGTGAAATCTGGCCCATCAGGTCAACAGACATAAAGAGACTTGTCACATTCGATCATCGCTGCCTTCGCAGCTTAGCTCATGTCTGGTGGGAACACCGCCTGAGCAATGAGCGCGTTCGGCGTAGCGTATTTGGTGCAGGAAGAGCGAGTGAACCACTCAACGCCATCATATCACGCACCAGGCTCCGATGGCTGGGCCACGTGTTGCGAATGCCAGCACACCGACTCCCGCGAAGTGCATTGTTTGCGCGTTGTGGGTGTGGTTGGAAGAGGAGGAGGGGAGGCCAAGTGATGACTTGGTCGAGAGAAATGAAAACCCTCACTTCGAAGTTGGCGTCGGTTGGTGCATTCTGACTGCCTGGCTGGGGTCCTAAGGACGGTGAACACGTTTGGTTGGACACACTTGCTGATATGGCTAGGAGCCGGCCCCAATGGCGTTTGTGTTGTGAGTTCCTTTGTCCACCCCCTCCTGTTTAGCATCCCCCACAATCACGACCTCAATCGTCAGGCATAATATGACTTTCTTTTACGTCAGCCAGTTGTTAGCTCTCCGGAACTATGTCCACCCGTTACTGGGGACTCAACGAGCATGCCACTGTTTGTTTTTTCTTTTCTTGCCTTTTGTATTGCGGCACAATAGCTGAGGTATTTTCCACCTCCGGCTAACGCGTAATGCTGCTGCTGCTGATGACATAGGATTACGCCTTTGGTATATTTACCCGTCTTTGTTGTATCATCATGATTACGCTCATGCAGGAGCGCTTTGCACTGTCGAGAATGAAACGTACATTTATTTATTGCAGTTTGTGTAGTACTTGTGAAGAACAGGGCACGGATAAGTATGGGATGAAGAAAGGTAAGGCTAACCAGGGGGCCTTAGAGACCTGCAATTGGTTGGTTGTTTTCCCGCTCTCCTTATCACTTGGTAATCGCTGGCTAGTTGGCAAGGTGCACCCTGTTTCCTCGATGCGGAGCTCGCTAATTGGTGTGCTCAAGACCGTGGGTGCGGTCGCAAACTGTTCACGAGAGACAGCTGTTTCCTTACATAGTTCACAGACATCCTCCAGATTACCTTTGCAGATTCAAAATTGTAAGAAATCCTTCGTGTGTTCTAACTGCATAATAACGGTCAGAGCTGGATGGAACTTGCAGTACAAATACACATGGCAGTGAACTGGGCTGTGTTGTCAGTGGCCGATGGAGGACTGCGATTGAGGTAAAAGGATGAATGGCGTGGAAAGGAAACTGAGTCGGCTGCTCTAACAACGAAGCAAGTGAGATCAGACAACCAAAAATAGCGACGGCCATAGCCTAATAGCGTAGCGTCGACAACCTCACACCTGTTGACTAGCAACTGAAGCGTTACAATTATGGTGGGATTAACATCGGCTTCCGCAGTTCTTATCGTTCCAACTTTCTACTTGGAGAAGCACAGCTGATTTGGTTTACTTCCAACACCATGGCCCAAATTTTAAATAAAGCTAACCCAATAACAGCGGTAGCAAAGCGCGAGCAGACAACTGATTTAACTTAGTTATTAGAAGACTGCGGTGTTACCATGGCCTAATAACCACCAAAGCAAATCATTATTATACTGTACTTCAAAGAGTCATCACTTTGCTTACCTTTTATAGGATGTTGGGCTGGATTATAAATAGCGCTTGTCATAGATTTTGCGTTTGTTCTACAGCAGGTAGGACAATGTTCAACTACGCTTGGACCATGATTCTACTGCGACGTACAGCGCACAGCACATGTACGCCATACTCAACGCTGCAAAAATTTAAAGGCTTTAACAACATGGTTCGGTTGCAAACTTTGTTATAAAATAATTTTCTGATTAAATGTAACTTTTGTTTAACGACATCAACAGTATGCACACTAGCCTAACATTATAACAGCAGATTTTCAACATTCGTCCCAACTGCTTCATCACGTGTTAACAAAATAAAAATAGCTATTGCTGTCCTGCAGTAGCAAAATAATGGACAATACTAGATTAAACTAGAATAACGCTGGCTGTCTTTGTCCCCATAATTAATGGACGACAATGGAAGCAAACTGGAATCAGTACTGAAAGTAAGTAGCAGTTTCCTCATGTACGTTGTATAGGAATTTAGTTTTTACACCTTGTTTGGACCTAGAATAACCTATGTATTATGAACTATTTTAGTTTTACAGTGTGCCACGTCTTTGACTGATGTAAACTTTTTACTGACGAAGTGAACGACCATGCTGTAGTATACGTCCGATAGGGGATTCCCATGGCTTCCCTGGCCAAAGCATTCGGGATTTGTAATACACCAAGAGGGCTGTACTGCAAAACTGGTACTTCCTAGATAGCTGGATACCCGATCAGCGCACATTCATGGCCACCGGACACATTTGAGCGTGTTTTGATCACACGCAGAGGCAAAATATTAATATGAAAATAAAAAGCGTGATCTGTGCATATATGCAGTCAAATAAGATTGTATAACATTTGCACCCAGTTTTTGCTCAAAAAGCCTTGATTTTTAGGAACCTCGTAATTTCATTCAGTGTGAGTGATCACTAGTGATCCCTGAGTGACTAAAATATGTGCCCCGGTTATCCCAATTAGACACATTTTTGGACGACTCTTGGTCACTCATAGCCACTTTACTACTTTGTTATAATAAAAACACAATTGCAGTCAGCGAGAATGACAATCATTCAGCACTGGTTGACAGTTTTATGTGCCTTTGGCCCTACCAATTGGACATATTTAGAACAAATTTCGGTCACCCAAAATGTTTTGGCTTAACTTTCCGGCTCAAGTATTGAGTAATAGCAATACTTGAATCGGCTTTTGCTTAGTTTTGGCAGTTTTTACAGAAAAATATGTTGCAATCACTTTAGGTGTTAAGGGAGCGCTGGAAAATATTTTTTGGGTGACAAAATTTCGTCCTAAATTTGCTCATTTTTTAACGGCCATAAGTTCAAAAACGGTCATTCAAAGGGTTCCAACCGTCACTCCAGCAAATATTTTTCGGGCACTCGTGCGATACCGTTGGTTACCCACGTAGCTAGTTGGATGCCGTCATCATAGATGTTGATGTAGGACGGAACAAGAAATGGTTGAATGGATGACGTAAATCAGCATGGAAAATGGCCCCTCAAGTAACATCATTGATAAAATGGAAAGGCAAAGAGGAGAGGAAACGAAAACGTTTTCTAGGCTGAGCTAACCACAAAGATATTTTGCTTAGTGACTTGCTACAGCTGCACAGTTTGACGCCACTCACAACACGAGTGACCAAAAATTAGCCACTGGGGTGGCCTTTAGATCTTTCTGTGTGCCGTTTTTATGCTCATGGCCGTCTTAGTGAGGCACGTTTGAGACAAACGTTAGTGACTAGAAAGGCATTTTTTAGTACCGGCTTAAATAATACAGTAAATACGTTCTCCCTGGTTGCAAATACTGTCCCCCGTAAGCAGCACTCAATTTCCACATCATAAGTATGCAACGTCGAAGCCATACGCCTATACCGAAAAAATAGTTAAGAGAACGAGTTTCATTATAAATATGTTTAACTAGGACGGACATGAACATAAAAGACGATCACTCGCGCTGACTTGAAGTACAATTTAATTAAAGCCCATCTGACTATAGTTAAAGTGCGGCGTTGTCAATGATGCATAATAATATCTAGTAACAGATCCGGGCATATTATAGCACTTCTATCTTTATTTTATTTTTGCCTCTCCGAGTGACCGAAATATGCGCACAAGTGGGTACGGCTGGCCGTACAGCTGTACAGACAAGGACGCTACGGATCTTCCCACTTAAGCGCGTTATAAGGCATCAACGACCATATTACGAAGATAAATATTCATGGCTTACTTTGTTGAAGTAAAACAACATTTTATAATGAATTGTTAATACCACTTCTATTTGCACCGCTGGACGGTCAGCTTTCCCGTTTGTGTGGTTTTTGATCACTTTCAGGGCAAAAGTGAAGAAAAACGGTGTACTATATCCAGATAAATTGTGCACTAGATTTTATCCATCACTATCACCATCCGTCTTTACCCATGAGTCTTTTCATCTTAATAAAATTTTAATATCACCCGACGTGAGTGACATATAGATAGTCACTGATTTTTTGTGTGACCCCTAAGGTTTCATTGAGACAAATCTATGGCGAATTGTGGTCACTCAAAATTTTTCGGTTTAGCCTCCGGGCTTTAACATTGCGTTATGACCATTTTGCACCTTTTTGCTGGTAGTTGACTGTAATTTCCAGCAGGAAAGATTATTCTTATTGTTCAACACATGATCAATAAACATGGAGTAGAGCGCTATAACACATACGTAAGAAGCAGAAAAAAGGAGAAGAAGTCAATGGAAGGAATATGAAGCCGTTTTTGTGTGGGTTGAAAGCTTTCCGATTGTTTAGGCTGAGGAAGTGGGTTGACTTAAGATACCACACTCGGAAACACTGGTCTTAAAGTCCTGAGCTGCAGAACAGAAAGGATGCATTTATGATAAACGGTCGAGGTGCAATGTAAATACCACTTTATGAGTGACTAAAATGCGTTTTATTTGGGTCTTATTGGAACGCCAAGAAACTTACAAGCCATTACTCAAAGTGCTCCAATGGCCAACCCAGTGGACCTTTCCGGTCACTCGTGTTATGCGGGATCGGCCTCAGATTATAAAACGTTTGGTCTTAATACAGTCCCGGATCCAGCCAGCACGAATGACCCTGAATTTACCGCTATGTGACTTAGTCATGTGCTATTGGCTGTTTCGGTAGAATACAGATAAGACTCATATTAGTCGGTAGGAAATTAACGCGTCAGTGCAGGTAGAAGGGCAGCCGTTTTATTTGTACGTGCCTTGCGTGGTAAACGAAAAGTAAATAAAATAATAACGTGGGAATATACCATTAAATAATATCGCGCATCGCTGATACTTCAGGTTGTGAAATATAAATAATTACGTTCTGATAAGTTTATACCATCTGTCAGCCTGATTGACCTGTGTGATGATGATGAGTGACCGTTTTGCTGCTCCTGCTAGTCTTAATGAGTCAAAATTAGGCCGAACTTCTGTCAGCTAATATAACTTTGAAATAGCCTAATGTCTTCTCTTTTGCATAATGACGATTTCTACGTCGCTTTTTGTTTGGAGTGGACGGTACATGCGACAAACATAATGCATTCATGGTACATGCCAGGGCTATGCTGTAATGTTTATATTTTCTTAATGATCGAAAATCGTACCAAAGATGTATTAAAGGGACGGCTAGGAGCACAATAGCGTTCACTAATGATACTGTAACCGTCAGGCCGGTGCACATCAGTTGACCGCTTGCGTTAAGTGGATTATAGATATACCCAACTACTTTCAGTTAATGTTTATAGTCCCGCCAGAAAAAGTTCTGCTGTTCACAAGATGTGCGAAACTTGCGCATTTGTAAAACAACTTCAACCAGATGTCTTTACACTCCCTGAGACGTGTTGCGTCTTTGTCATCATGGCCAGTGAAATATCTGTACCAGACTACGCTGTACTTTAATTTGTTTGTGCTTCTGACCACTGCAGACGAATTTACTTTGTACGTCGATTCCACCTTAGTTATTTTGCAATCGTCCGTGTTCCATTCTATTGATGGAGCTACTGAGGGCATTTATGTATATTTTTGTACCGCCATGTAATGTTAAATGGTGTTAGTGTACAAAAGTCCAAAAAAGCGTCCTTCAGTTGACTAGACTTTATGTACATGCATACGGCAAATAGACATTTCCCCATCTGCCTCAGTTTGCCGAGGCTCTGGTGATATATATATATATATACATATATATATATATATATCAGCAATCTATAAGCTAGCCATAAAGACGGCAGTAACGTTGAAATGATGGATATCATTACAGAGACTATAAACCAAAAAGGTTATATAAATGTGTATATATATAGCAACAGTCTCCGAAAAGACAAGAGCTAGCAGAAACCATGGGACTCAAAAGTAGGTCCATTAATAGTAAAAGAAAGCACAACATAATACATCAAAGTCCATGGTTTCGTCAGAGAGCGAGATACTACTCGGTTGCCCAAGCCGAAGTAGGGTGTTGACGTAGGGGAGCAAAAAGTGGTGAAAGTTGCAAAAAAGCTTATGTTTTTGATTCTTTTTTGTAATCTGTTTTCACAAGCTGTTTTAACACTTATCGTCTGTTATATGTTTGCGATGTGAATCAAGAAAATCAAGGCAAATATTTGCACATTTTCCATGGGTCCGGTTCTGGGCCATAACCTTATCAGCGAAACAAAGAAACCCGAGACATTCAGATGCATAAGCTTCTAAATTAACACGAGAAACAGCCGCGGTCCCCGAGCTGCTACGTGTGGAACGCCACAAATAACACTTCGACATCTGACCTGCAGTTGCCGGTTCTGCTAGAAATTCCCGATCCACCCAAAAACGAGAGCTCCAACCCTAGCTGTCGAGCCTGTGAAGCTGAATGCGGTAGTCTAGTCGGTCAAAGGTTTGGCGATGTCGAGGCAAATGACGTAGGTCCCCTACCTTTATCGGCTGCTTCCGTCCATCTACCGCGTGCAGTCTGTTGGGCAAGAACGGTGTTGGCGGAAACCGCGCTGCTTAGGTGCTGTGATGTTGTAGCGTACTAAACGCTGTGCTCTTGAGCAAAGGTGCGTGCTAATTATGTATTTGTGCACACGTGGTTGTTGCAAGTTTTCTCAGCCGCATTTTGTCGCACACAACTAGACCACCGCTTGTTCGTCATGCTTTCGTAAGCTCTACGTTGTGATATCATTTTCTCGAATACACTATGGTGCATACTATCTTTTATCCGGAATGGCAAATCCGGAGCAGTGCTTCACCGAAATCCAAGCTCTGAAAGTTGCATAACTACAACCATTGGTGACATTGCTTAGTCCACTCGATAAAGCATTTCAACGGCTTTTGAACGAACTCTCACTCATTCAAGTTACACATGGTTTGGAGAAGCGACAGGTTTATTTACACTTCTTTCCGGGCAAGTTTACCACGAAACTGCTCTAGGAAACCCTCGTGTGTGCTGCTTCATGGGTAC